GAACTATGATAGTGCCACTGCACTCTAACCCTGGTGATAGAGCAAGACCCTGTCTCAAAAGATGAAAAGATGTACAAATTATTTTTTTAAGGGAATATTTAAGGGGGGTTTATATTCAAGGGATAATTAGTGACATCACTGGAATGAACATTCTGCTGATTAACTAGTGATTCATGCTATATTCACATGAACTTCAAAGCCCAAGTTAAGGTGGCTCAAGTGCAACAACATGTTCCAGTTGGGAGACTGATATTGAGGAAGCAAAATGAGTGTGCAGTCCATACACCACAGCTACAAGCCAAGCATACTACCCAGATGATACACACAGTGACAGTAACAGAGATGAGGTTCTGCATCCATTCTCAAAGCCTGGGCTTGGAGAGAAAAAAATACATGAATTCTATTTAAGCTAAACTAGTCAGTATCTTGTGATTGCCAAAAATAAAGTGGAATAAATCAAATCATGTTGTGTTTTCAATCAACTTTCTACTAGTAACAATTTCAGGAATGGAATTTATTTTGTGTGATTATTCCTATCCCCATCTCTGCCTCCCATATTTACTTAAAATACATCTCTTATCTAGCAGATGTAGTTTGTAGGCAAAATGCTTCAACAGCATTGATCACAAAAATGAAATACTAGTAAAATCTATTTCCCTAAAGAAAATCTACACCTGGCCAGACATAGTGGCTCACCCTTGTAATCCTAGCACTCTGGGAGGCCAAGGTGGGAGGATCATTTGAGCTCAGGAGTTCAAGACCAGCCTGAGCAAGAGGGAGACCCCACCACTACTAAAAATAGAAAAAATTAGGCAGGCATGGTGGCACATGCCTGTAGTTCCAGCTACTTGGGAGGCTGAGGCAGGAGGACTGCTTGAACCTAGGAGTTTGAGGTTGCTGTGAGTTAGCCTGAGGCCATGACACTCTGGCCTGGGTGACAGAGCAAGACTATCTCAAAATAAAAAAATGTACCTATGTAATATTTGTTTTATGACATGATTTGTTAAAACAGAGAGCTTCTTGTTTAAGCATCAAAACAATGAATAGTTTACCTGATAAACCCTATGTTTAAATACTCCATTATTCCATAAATACCAGACTGAACATTTGTGTCTACTACGTTTTAAGCTTCTTTATGAAAGAAATAGTACTTCTCAAGGTTTCCATAGTATTTTCATGAAACGCTGTCTCCAATTGTAAAAGAAAAATACCAATAATTGTATATTTATGCTTAACAGAATTATTGAAAAAATACTTCCCTCTTCCATCCTAATTAAGTTTTCTATTATCCTATAATACGCATAGTATGTTCTTATCCTTATTCTTCTTCATGTCCTTTCTGTAATATTCTAAGTCTGCTGTTTCAACAACTTTTGAGGAATCTATGTGCCTCGGTACATTTTAAATGTCTAAACAATTTAAAATGCAGCTTCAACTAATACTAATACCACTCATATCTATATAGTTTTAAAGTGCTTTCATGTATTTATATATTTTAACTAAACAAAATATACTAATCTACTATTTCATTTCAGATATGACAATTATCAGTGAGTGTATTTTTTGCCTGATTACTAAAAGCCTAAAATAAGCCAAGAAAATGCTCACATTTCATTAAAAGTTCTAAGTTCACATCTCAGGGAAAAATCTGTTTTAATCCTAAAAAATATTGTATATACCATAAAAACAACTACCAGCTTTTATACAAAGGTTAATTTTCAATGAAAATATAGTCTCTCTATAAAATAATTTAATTACCTGTACACAATTACACAATATAAACCAAGAAGGAGAAAACTATATTGAAACTAGGTATTCTAAGCACTAACACATTTGAATTGTATACATCTCTTGGCATTCTCCTATGGCATTCCCACAAGAAAGACCTCAAAGCTCTCTCCCACTTAACCAAGCCCCACTGACTGCTGTCCTGACTGGACAATGTTGGGCAGCAAGTCCGTGGCCTGAGTCACTGAAGACAGCAACAATTGTAAAGGAACTGCCTTTAGTTGCTGGTGCCAGAACATTCTGCTGAGAGGCTCCTCGGTGAAGGGATGGGTGTGGGTCCTGGCTAGTTGACTTCATAAACCTACAGCTTCCACAGAGTGCAATGCTGCAAAAATTTTTTCAGAGAACATACCCATCCTTCATTTTCATGAAAGCAAAACGGAGAAAGATACCTCCTGAATGGCTTTCACATCTATCTACTTCTCCCCATTCTCCCCAGCCACTGCAACAGTTCATGCCACTGCTATGGTAAGCCAGGATTACTCCTCCAGACAGGTCTATATGTCTAGACTTGGCAACACTCCGCAAACATACATTCATACAGACGTACAAAATCCTTACACACACCCAAGCTACTCTGAAGATCAACCAATAATCTTTCATATTAAAGACACACGTCACTCCCTGCTCAAAGTTCTTCAGTAGCTTCCCCCTGTGCTCAGGATAAAAGTCCAAAGTCCTCAGCATTACCTATGGGAGCCCTATATCACCAATTCTGCTCACCTCCCCAGCCTCATCTCTAGCTGATCTCCCTTCAGCTCCTACCAACAGGCCTGATGAACCTTCTGCTCCTCAAATGTGTAGTGCTCTTTCACACATTCAGGCCTTCACCTACGCTATTCTCTCTGCCTGAAAGAAACATTCTGCTATTTCCATTCTCTCTTCCTTGTACTCTTCCTGAAGGTCTAAAGTGTCACTTCCTCCAGGCTACCTTCCTCTACCTCCACCCCAGCTAGGTTAGGTGCCCCTCCCATGGAACCCTGTACAATTTATTGTAACTGTCACTTTATATAAAAGGCACTCAAATACTTGTTGAATATACTCTAAGTTTACTTTATGAATCTAATATGAATGTGGGCAGTAGGGAAAACATGTTTAATATCAGTTATGATATGATAGAAACAAGGCAGCAATTGTTATATTTTGGTATAAAATACAAACTACACAGGTGTCTACAAACACCCTTAGAAAAAGTTAAAACACTGCACACTAAAAAAGAACACTTTTGACCATAAAAATATTAGTTTTGTGCTCACTACTTTAGGCAAATTGCAGTTCATAGAGTGTCAGATTAAAAGTATCAAAAAAGAAGCCCTGGTTGCTTATAGGTCACTTATAATACCAGTGCAACTTTTCCCCTCTGCTACTACCAAACTCTCTTGACATTATCAGAACTCTGCTGGCTAAAGGTAAAGAGTACTCCGTTTCCTTAGTTTCTAAGCCTTGATATAAGTCTTTCAATAAGGATTCCATTCATGATAATGGTCCCAGGGACATAAACATGTTGCCAGGAAACAGACCTCTGATACATCCTGGGCATTAGTTGCCACTGGCAGCTACTTTCTTTAGGCCACATGTCTTATAATGAGTTACAATCTGAGCATTGTGACACCAGATTTTTCCAGGGCAGCAGATTGATGTCATAAACATAATGGTACTAAGCACTCTAAAGAGCTCACCAGCTACACCCTACACTCCCTATGTGAAGGGGCAAATTATCCGCCCTCTCTAGGTCTCAGTTTCCCCATGTAGTAATAAAGAGATAATGGGCCCTACTTAAGATTCTTCTGGGAATTAGACTGTCCATGAAAGCACTCCCTCAGAAAAGCCAATTACTGTTTTCAAATCAAAATAAAGGGAAGACTATAAACTTAAAATATTTTCACATCTTCAGGACTTTTGGTAATGCCATAACTTATTTTTGACTACTGTCCTTCCAAAAGGAAATTTTTGAGAAAGGCAGAAAGATGAAAAAATGAGGATCCACTTCATCACAACCTTTGGATTCCACAGAAATTCCAACAGACAAATTCCACAGAAATCTACATTAAAGATGCACTTTCTAATCTTTCTCAGTATCCCAAAATCACAGCCTTAGTTTTTACATTAACCTTTCCTAGAATATGGGAGCTAGCAAAGGGAAAATACTTCAATACTTCTTCCCAAGATGTCCTCACCAGAAGCAATTATTTCTTTCCTACCTCTATGCACTTCCAAATATACTAAATCTTTTTTAAAAGAGAGAAAAGGGGGAGGGGGTTAAGGGCTCAGTCACAAAAGCTGGTCTTCAAAGTCTCCAGTTTCCTCACTGCAGAACTACAGTCATGTAATATGATGGAGGCATATCCGTGAAACTGTCAGGTGGCAATCCGTGAAACTCAAAGTGTTACAAGGAGAATTTAACATGGGGGGAGGGTTCCCACTCACATTTTTTTTTACCTTGACACAAGACGACCAAGTAGTAATATACACTACCCACTGTGAACATTTTTATCATTTATATAGAGAAAGAAGGGAATTTGAGTGCCAATTGAGGAAACTGGCTCTCACATTCCCCAAGCCAGGCTGACGAGATTTGTTGGGTTGACAAGGAAATTTTACAGATCTCCTGAAACGTGTCTAAATAAAGGTGAGACCTCAACAGCCTTATGACTTTACCCTAGTCTGGGTCCGGACTCAGTTTTTACAAATGGGTGACGTGTGAGCAGCTTCCTAAAAGCAAATGGGGCACTGGGATATAATTTAGGAAGTGATGATGCAAGTCTCTGGGGAACAGGGAGGAGGGGAGGTGAAAAAGTCAAAGGAAGCCTCCTGGTGCCTGGGCACCAACTCATCCCTAAAGAGGGAGGAAGGGCTGGCCTCCACATGCCAAAGGAAGGGGGCACCCCTACTCCACCTGGAAGAGCCAACGCCGCCCCCTCAGCGCTCCCCCACTGCCCTGCCCCCCTCACCCGTGGCCCGGACGGCCCCGTCGGCCCGAGCCTCAGCCCGGCGCGTCCCAGAGGGTGGCAGCGCACCCCGGGCAGGGCCTTTTCTGCCCAGCCCCAGCTCCCCCCACGGCACCCCTCCCCGGGACGCGGCCCCTGCCCCCGCCCCGTAGGCCCGGCCTGGGCCCAGCCCCCAGGGTTCCGGCCTCCAGGGCCCCGAGGCCTGCCCGGGCAGCCCCGGCGCCCGCGCCCCCGGCCCCCGCCCCCACCCGGCCGGGCACTTACCCCCAGAAGCCGCAGGGACAGCGAGGCGGCAGGCTGGGCGCTTTGCTACGCTCGCTCCCGGCGTCTCCCATGGTGCTCGGCGGCGGCGGAGCTCGGCGGCGGCAGCGGTGGCGGCGGCGGCTGGGCCTCGGCCCCGCTCGAAGGAGGCGGCGGCGGCGTCTGGGGGCTCCGGGCGGGGGGAGGGGGAGGGAGCGGGCGCGCAGGCGGGCGCGAGTCCGGGGCTCCGAGCCGGGATTCCAGGCCGGTCAGCTGGAGGCGGGCCGCACCACTCGGCCTGCGGAGACGGGGGGGCCGGGGGAAGCGCGGAGAGCAGAGGGAGGGGAGCTGAGGAGGAGGGGCGTGTGGGTGAACCGAGGACCGCGGGGGAGGAGGGAGACCCGGCGCCCTTGGTAGAGCCCACCGCCGCTCCCCAGCCAGAGCGATGTCCCGTGCGGCGGCGCGGGGAAGGACCTGAGGCCCCCGCCGGCTCTGGAGTCGCAGCGGCCGCTGTGAAGTCCTGGGCCCGCTCACTCCGTAACACCCTCCCCTCCCCCGAAGCCTGTGCTGACCGGACAATGGCCGCTCCGCCCCCCTCCCCTCTTCACGCACCCCTCCCAAGGAGTCACAATGGTCTCGCCCGGGGGAGCCGCCGCCAAAGCCCAGCAGCTGATCAGCTGGGATCCGGGCGTGCCACTTTGTTCAGCTCCTCAAAGGCAGAGTCCGGGCTGCGGGCAAAGCCCTGTGCGTCAGGCCATCACTCGGCGACGGACGTCTGAGGCCTTTGTATTCTTGGAACTTTTAAAATCTGAGGCAAACTTGCCTTCCCCCTCTCTAAAGAAGGGGAGCAGGTTTCTGAGTACTGTGGGGCACGATGTTTCCCCCCAAAACGCGAATGGTACGCCCTAAGCAGGAGGGGGAGGACTAGATTAGTTGTTTAGGATAAATTGGGCCAGTCCCAGAGCGGCGGCGCATGCGCCCGGAGACCCCTCGGCCGGGCGCGGGGAGGGGCAGAGAGAGAGAGCTTTCAAACCCGGAAGCGGGGCTGTCAGGGTCCATGGCTGATGGGGAGGTCCCTGAAGCTGCAGCTCTAGTTCCCAGGCAATACTGCAGAGCATTTCTCCCCCAACTCCCTGGTAGTCGCTCTTTCTTTCCGGTCCCCCCACACCCAACCCACTCTTCCAGTTCCACCCGGAGAACTGGTCTCTTGGCAGTAATGAACTTCTGGGAAATGTCCGGCCCTCACCCCTCAGCAATGGCGGGGGTGGGGATGGGGGGACAGTGTCTAATCAAGTTCCTCGCCTCTCCCCCACCGGTGTCCCCAACCTCCGAACCACACGTTCACTCCCTGTGCCTAGGCTAGGAGAGCCTCACTTCTTCCTAGAGCGGATAGATTTAGTTTTTGGAGGGGAAAGAGGGAAGCTGTGGCCAACTCACAGTGATGGAAACTAAGTGACCAAAGAAGTTTGAGACACTAAAAAGTGAGTCCTTTAACGCTCCTTGTCTTTGATCATGAACTCATTCTGATCTCCAGCCAGTTGTGAGCAGAGAAGCCAATTATTGATGACTAATTTCAACACGGAGGGAAATTCTTCCAGACCTCTTGGAGGCGTGACCCACCAAGGCCCTTATGTGTGAACTTCAAAGTTCCAGCTATTTCCAGGAAGACTTCCTGTTCTTAAAAATGGCCTCCCTTGTACGCTCCTTACCCGAGGAGCATACAAGAGCCTCAGAGAGAGGGTATTACCTAGATTAATTTGATTACCAAATGTTGCTATTTTATTTCTTTATATACCAGGTCACATTTGTTTGTGCATTTTCTGTAAACTTGTTAACACTGATGTTGTTTCCTTTGGCTTCTAAATTTCTAAAGAGCTAGGCTCACATTTAGCTTAGTGTCCTAAAGATGCTGTTGATGTTGAAGACAATTATTGCAAAAATCGAAGCAGATTTATTATGCATAGCATTTAGTTTTGATTTGGTGGATTTTCCCAAGCCTGCAATAAATATTTCTGTCAAAAGTCAGTAGAAAGAATGAAGCCATACAGAACTCCTTGCTGTCATTGGATTTATTTTACCCTTATTTCTTCACTTAAACTGACATAAAATTGCCACATACGTGAGATTAACAAAGTGAAATTAAGTGGTACTCTATTGGCATCTTGATGATTTTCCAAAAGAAAATTTTAATATAAAAAGTGATTGTTCTAGTCAAAACAGAAGTCTTGGGTTATAAATAAAATTTTTTAAAGTGAGAAATAAGAAAGAAAAAATAAGAAAAAGTGATTGTCATCTTGCAAACTACTGGCATCCTGTATGTTTGCCAGTTATTCTATTCAACAAGCATTCATTGAGTACCCAGTATGTGCAAGGCATTTCCTAAGCCCTCTGTAGACTAAAAAGATTAGTGAAATACAGCATTCATCAGCAGAACTCCCTACATATAAGAAGTTAAATAATTTGACTCGAATCTTCCTCTGTCTTCATTTTCTACTCTTCTCCTCTATGCACCCTTCAAATCAGCCACTAGTTGCCGTTCCTCAGGTACACCTTGCTTTTTTACCTTGCTATCCCTTTGTCCCTCCTATTCTCCTCTCTCTCAGCTGCTCTACCTTTCTCTTGCCCAGTACATTCCTACTGCTCTTGCAGGAGCATGTTACCTCTTTAATGCCTTCCAAAAAGGCAGAGTTGGTCCTTCCTTCCTTTGCCCACATAATCCCCATAATAGGACCAGGAAATTTACTTTTTTTTCTCTTCTTATGAAACCTAGCTCCAAAAGGACTGCAATTGGAGCAAACTCAATCCATGTTAGCTGAATGGAAGAACTAACTAATCAGGTAAAATCTTAATCAAGGTTCTTGTCTGCAAGTAACAAAAATCCACTTAAACTTCCTCATACAAGCTGCGTGTACCGGCATGGCTGTGTTCCCAGCTACTGGGGGGCCGAGGCAAGAGGATCACTTGAGACCAGGAGTTTAAGTCCAACCTAGGCAACAAAGCAAGACTCCATCTCTAAAAATTTAAAAAAAAAAAACTTGCTCATAAAAAAATATATACGTATATATATAGAGAGAGAAAAGGAAATAATCTTACAGAACCCAAGGGCACAGAGAACAACAAGATCTCTTGAAACAAAGTCCTAAAACATCAATAGGAAGCCAAGTGGCTATTTCTTCAATATCTCTTCTTGTCTGGTTCATGTATTTCCATCTCTGCTTTTCTCTACAAAGCTGCTTCTCTCCTCTGCAGACCTGCTTTCACTGCTTTTCTGGGAACATAGTCCAAGTTTACCCAGCCTCACTTCAAGAACCAATAGACACTAATTAGTATCTGTGAATCTCAGTTCCCAGAAGAAGAACCTCATTGGTTTAGTTTGTGTCTGTTTGTGTAATCTTGGCACAATAGCCTTTAGCTAGGGGGGCAATGTGTAGTCAAGGCTTTGTTGTAATGCAAACATGGTTCCCAGAGGCCCATCCTTGTAGGCTACAGTTCTCTAAGAAGGGTAGCTCTGTCCTTGGCAAAAGTTCCAAAAGGTGTCCACCACAGACCAAAAAGGAGTAAATTGCAGCCTGAAATTCAAAAGCATAAAGAACAATGGACATGTTTAAGAATTTTCTAACAAACTAACTCCTACTTAAACTATTTCAGACCTAAATTTAAATGGCACTCCCTAAAAGAAGCCTTCACTGGCCCCCACCCCAATCAAAATTCTGTTGCCCCATTATTGTCTTACATGGCACCCTTTTACTTTATAGCACCTATCATAGTTTATAATTAAATATGTATTTGTGAGTCTGCTCTCTAAGGAGCATGTCTATTTTGTTTACCATGATAATGCCCAGGGCACATTTGGTAGGCATTCAACAATTATTTTGTTGCATGAATAAAAAGGCACAATGATTTGTTAATCAATGTGAGACCCACATATGGATTGATACCCTAATTAGATAATCCTGGAAGAATATCTCAGTCACCAACCCATCCTTCCCAGAAGACTTGAAACTCACTGCTAGGTTTTTTGTCACATTGTAGTTGTATGAAATGAGACATACGAGTGTTCATCTGCTTCCTCTTATGATGTTCCTAGCAGCTAACTCTTCACTCTGAGTTCCCAATGTCTCTAGCTGAAGAGCCCTCAATCCAATTCCTATAATAACCCCACTTACTTGACTGGAAGCTCAGAGAGGACATAAAATTTCAGGGCATCATCAAATTAGGGGACCAAAGTATGGGGATAATTGGCAGAAGTGCTTTTGTCATAATTGTCTTCACTATTTTCTAGTGTAGATTTTGTTCCAGATGAACCTATGATGCGACTCTTGGGAGTAGTTTGCAATCACCATTGGCCCAAAAGGAGCCATCCACATGCTCAGTGGGGTCTAGTAAAGGATAATAATATTAATACTACAGCAGCCAGAGCTCTTGAGCAGCTGAAGTTGTGTGGGAAAAGAGCCTGGTGTGACTCAAGCACAGGGGCACACTAGGGCTGTTTCCTTGGTAAGAGTCCAAAAGACCCCACTTAGCCCTAGAAGGCATGACCAAAAAAAATAAGCTTGTAGAGACCTGAGAGAAAGCAGATGATCCTTTACTCCAGTTCTAATCGTTACCCCTGCAACTCCCTCAGTTCAAAGCCTTTCATCATTATATTATAATTCATCCTAACCTGCTATTAGCGCCAATGTCCAATCCAAACTCTGGCCTCAATCTTAATCCTAATCCTAATATTATCTGTAATATTTAATCCCAGATTTCAAACCTAATCCCAACCTTGATTCTATAAGCTTAACAAAGGCTCCTTGCCTTGCCTCGCCTTGCCACTGAGTTATTTTCCCCAGCTCTTCTTTCTCATTCCCTTTGACCCTGACCAACTCCTGGGAGCAGAGAACCATAACAATCCAGGCCCCCTGGGGAGAATAGGAGGAGCCAATTTCAATAATCTAAAAAGGTGGGGGGCCTTGGGCTGCCAGAAAAGGAAAGTGGGGCATCTCCCACCCAAGCAGGAGACAGAGACCCTGCCCAATCACAACATGCCCTATTGCCTAATTTAGCAGCTGCTCAGCCTCTGAAATTCCAGGAAAGATGCATTCCAGGTCACCTTTATAGACTCAGGAACATGTGGTACAGTTGGCCTACAGCAGAAGACCTGAGACCCTTCTACAAAATGATAGAGTTAGATTAGACAAATGGCTTTCAAACCACGTTCCCAGAGAGCAGGAATTCTGGTTTTTGCTCTCCTCTCATTTGAGTTTGGTTTTACGACAGGTGGGGCGGGGACATGAATTTTTTTTAAAGCCACTGAACCAGACCCTTTCTTAGGTTCCTTCTGGCCCTCAATGTTTTCTGATGTGCAGTTGATTCTTTTAGTCACTTATGGTCCAGTTGTCATGGATAAACGTACAGAGCCAAGGGAAAAGAAGGGCAACCAAGCATACCATCTCCAGCCCTTCTCAGGAAACTAAAAATAAATTAAATAAAATGAAAAGTGCTATGGAGAGGAGGAGAGAAAAAACGCTGCCATTTCACGTCCCGAGTCCCTCATGTTCGTGAAGCAATTGCTGATTTCCCTGCTGCTCACACCCATCTTGGTGTGAAATTTGATTTTACTGACTTTTAAATTTCTTTTCAAGAATGAAAATAATTGTTTTTCTCAGAAATACTTG